TTTCTCTGAAATGTGATAAAGGTAAAGTATTCTTGTATGGTTTCCGAACGTATAATAGAAGCTCGTCCCAAAGGTAAGAATGAGTGTGCAAAGGCCTTTTCCAGATGCGAACAGTGAACACTGCCCACCGAGATGCCAGGATCGGTGCACAAGCCACACTTTGAAACGCGCCAATACACCTCTATTGTCTTGTCCAAACATAGCAAAGCTACATTCTTTTGACTTCCGTGGGATCCATCTCGTAAAATCGGATGCACGTTTCTTAACGCGCTATCTTTCGCAGCTGCGAAATAGTTGTCACGTAGTCCTGTGACAGTCCCTTCTATGTAGCAAGTGTATATCGATAGACTGTCATATACAGGATGGAGACTGGTTGTCACGGACTGGGGTTCCCGCATTGCCGCCACAACGTCATTGTCATCCGCGGCCCAGAAAGTGGAACGGCCGGTTCTCCGTTCATGTTACTGTACTTTCACCCTCTCCAATAACATTAACCCGAGCGTGCAAGGGACGTACTACACTATTCGCTACGCTCAATTGTTTGATTCTCCCCGCTGAAAGGGCCCAACCAGCCCACGCCTGGTACGCCATAGCAATATGGCACTCGTTACGAAATGGATGAGGTTCATGAAGGCACGTATCTACACATAGGACATAGCTCTGGACTAAACAACACTTGCCCGTTTGGTTTCAGCAGGCTCTGATCAAAGGCACTTGCGGCGCCGCGTACGAATACGAGATGGATAATTTCGTACACGTCCTGCCCGAGGGAAACTCAAGAGCCCGACGCAATGGCGGAGCGGATCCTACATCCTTATTGAAAGGTCTCGAAAGCACCTGTACTTCTGAGCTTGAATCATTTGCCGCAGGTGTAAGTATACACTTACTTTTGTTGACCTTGATTACTGACGACCAACAATGTTTCCTCAGCGTGACCCCCGTCGAATTTATGCCGTTGTCGTTGGCATTGACAACTATTCGTTCTACCCATTGCGCGGGTGTGTAGCAGATGCCTTAGCAATGGTGAAGTGCCTTGTCGAGGTCGTCGGTGTGCCTGAGGACCGAATCCAAACCCTTCTGGGTCCAAGGGACCAGCACAATGCCAACGTTTCCTCCATCCCTTCCCGTGAAAACATTTTATCCGCGCTCCGCAGTCTCTCCACAAAAACTGATATCAAACACGGCGACCCCATCATTTTTTGTTTTGCTGGACACGGCTCGAGATATGCATGGTCAGATCTTGACGATGACAAGGATTCCGATAAGGAACACGACAACGAAAACTCTCCAGCAAGAGACGGATCCATCGAGGCACTTTGTCCCATAAACCGCGACACCGTTCCCGATATCAGTGACCGGGAGCTCAACACCATCTTCTCTCAAATCTACCGGACGGGAGGGCACCCAATCACCGTCATTCTAGACTGCTGCCACGGTGGTGGCGCCACTCGAAGTCCCAGAGTGCGGACTATCCCACCGGATTCGCTCAGAGCCATGCTCCAGATCGGTGAAGAGGACCTCAAAGATCTTCACGGTCATCAATCCATCCTGGACAAGAACTGGCGCTCAGATGTGGATTCCCACGTACTTGTAGCGGCGTGTAGGGAATCTGAGCTTGCACAGGAAGTGCAGGAGGGGGTGAGGAAGGGCGCGGGGTATCAGGGTGCCTTCACGAGTGCGCTTATCGGTACTTTGAGGTCTGGTGCGTTGGGAGACGGAGCAACGTATGAGGATCTCATTGAGGCTCTACCTCGTCTCTCTTTCCAGACGCCAATTACCGCAGGGAGACGCAAGAAGGCGTGCCTTTGGTATCAGATTTAACATGGATGTTGGGTTTTCCTCTATGCCTGTTCACTTTGTTCGCTGTCTGTAAAGTCGCCGTTCTTTTATCGAATGTATTGACCTTCGGAGCGGCCTGCAGGCCATGAAAGAAACGTTGCTATGCCGGGCAACAAGTCCGTAGATGTGACAAGATCAAAATATCCACCCGAACTAGATGTGCGTTGAGACGGGAGGGATGGAATTTGTGGAACGGCGTGAGGTGCATACATTCGCACACGCAATGAGGGCTAGAAATGCGGATCGCGACAGAACGTGACATAGGAGTTCGTTGACGACACCGCTGAGTTAACGGTGATAACCCGGCAACGCTAGATTACAGAAGGCAAATTAGTGACAAAAGTCCTGAGCTAGGAAACAGGATATGCTCACAAGAAAACAGACCATCGAAACGTCCGAATCCGATAGGAAAGCAGAACATGACAGAAATAGAGGAACTGGCCGATATCGTAATACGCGTCCCGGGCCTGGCGTGATCCTTGTCTTGTCGCAAACTGGCTGTCATTTCAAAGAACATATCACTAGTACAGTGATGCTTTAAGGAAAGTCGACAATAGAACAAGCGGAAGCATATCGCGTACATTGAGGAGCGATCAAGGACTTGTACACCCCTGTCGACAGGGAGGCATTCACTTCCGACATCGAGCAATTAAGAGGGCTTTGGAGATCTATTAACAAGCAAGAATCAACGCTACGACTATGATCCAAGTACAGAGCCCAATACCTTGACTATTGTCGAATAGTCGTCTTGGGCACTGGTTTCGGAAACCAGGCAAAAAAGGTTTCCAGCCTTGACATTGCAGCAGGGGTAATTCCCAGTTTTACACTTCAGATGGTAGACATAATTATGGCTTTTTTGAATGTCAACAGCAGACTGTAGAGTGGGGAAATAGCAAAAAAAGAAATCGCAAGCCGGGTGGTGGTCGGGGATCAAAAGGTGACAGCTGCCACATGAGCTGAGTAATTATTGTTTGATTATTATTATCCTTCTCTGCATCCATCCTCGCCAGCAGTTTCTCTGAAACGCCAAGTCTCAATGCTATCATTCGTGGATCGGCTATAGCTAACGTCTTCAGCTGCAACACATCGGAAGTCTGGCCGATCACTACTGTGTGCACATCAAGCTTTCCCAGGCATGCAAAGTCATCTCTTCTGCAAGAGGTAGGGAACGGAGCACTTCAGAGCTCGTCGCCGTCGAGTGAAGGGTGTGGAAATTTACAGCTTGTCGCTGAGCAAATTATGGGTTCTTGGTGCGTTCATACTTCAATTTAGAGATATCTCGTAGCTAACACGAACCTAGCCGTTAGTCCTTGCCCATGGCAAACCTATTCTTCCTTCCTCCTCTACCTGTCCATGGCCCGTGTTCACGAACAGACAACATATAAGAATGTCGATGAGTGACAACGGGATTCGCGGTATTCATGGTCGACCGGATGATGTACTTCCGTGGGCCAGGACGTCGACTTGAAGAGAGTTCCCGCTTAACTCATCGCTCTGAACACCCTCATTGCGACCAATGTTGAAATCTACCTGTGTAGCAATGTCTCTCTTGAATGTGTTATTCCCTTGGTAGTAAGGGGCTTCTACCGACTGTGGAACCGTTCGACAGATTGCGATGATTGAACCCGTGGAAGTAAAATGCCTATGAGAGCCTCCGACCTCCTAGAAGATTGAGGTAATATAAGGTGCGTACAGTCATCTGTTCTATGGAGCCCTGCTCATGGCGTCGCGTCTATGCAGACCTCGCCGCTTAGCTTGGACTTGGACGCTTTACTTGGCAATCTTTCCCATCCACCGGCGCACTTACTGAAGACCTGCTAGCCTTGGACTCAATTTCCAAGCAAGTTGGGTGGAGCACACACAACCCAGAGACCACGAGTATGGCACCTCGAGGTCTCGTTGGTCTATATCTGCCGTGGAGAAGGCTGGATTCTCCATGTACTACAATCTATTCGCTCTGCCCACGTCGCTACGAGACGACCTTTACCCCATTGAGCCGGCTAACCACGTTTTGCTCGTGCCAACATGTCACTCGGAAAACCGGATCGTCTATTTCGCGAATTCAGTCTTCACACTCCGAGGCCAGGATTAGCACTCCGGAAATGCATCCTGTTTTCATCGAGTACTGGGGACGGATATCCTCCGACAGGGCGCATAGCATATTTCAGGATCCGTTTCTGAGCACTACCACAAATTTTACAAGTCCCCACCCACGTCCCCGTTCCCATAATCGTCGCTAATCCTGCGCAGGCTCTTTGCCGGTGCCTGACCTCGAGGCGGGGGTGTATTGTTTGATATGGGTTCGCTCTGTTCTTCATTCTCATTTCGTGTTTACTAATAGAAGAATGAAATAGCTTGTACTATCAGTCGAACTTGACGTTGCGCTATGGTCTGACTCTGTAATCATCAATGTCAGAAAAAAATTCTGGGATCCATCGAAGAACCCCGGTGAGGGCAACGACCGCTGCTCCGTTAAAGCGCTTTTCAGTTTTTTTCTTTGCGTAACGTCCTCGCATCCTTCCCGACACACCAGGCTTGTTGGCCTATCGGTATCCTTAGTGGACAGCATGCGAGTCTCTCTATTCTGCTCCCTCTGTCCACATTGGCTTCGTACTATCCGACACAAGCACCTTACACACTTCAAACTGTTCCCGGGCCTGGTCCGCGAAGGATACTCGATCCCGCAGCCCGCTCTTCCAACTTTAACCAGGGCCTCCGAGTTTGTTTCCGCGGAACCTTACACAGCGACAAAAGATCTCGACGCAAACAAGATGTTCTCATTATGCTGGATCATAACATGGACTGGGAATATTATTTTGAGTACAAAGCTCTCCTCTGTTGCGCTTCTTCCCTGACGCTGAGTGTCGGGGGATGCTGTCGATATCGCTCTGTTGTTTGGCATTGTAAACTACTCGTGATGTACGGAACAAAGAATTAAACACCTTATACAATGCGCCCATATGATATAACTTCAGTCGAGACTCGAACCTGGCGCTGGCGGCTGCTGTCCTGTGTTGTCTATCCGATTCACAGTGAAGCAGCACGAGCGACGAGCGTCCGCCGTCGAGTGACCAGTGACCAGATTCCAGAACTTGGAAGTTCATGGCAGCAGTGTTCAATGTTCATGCATGAAGGAAAAAGTCACGCTAATCACCAGCATATGCATCAAAGGGGAATTGAACCCCCAGCGGGTCGATTCGCGACGAACTTAACACAACGACCCAGGCTACCACTACCTCATTGAGCATTTTTCTTCCTACCAGCAGAACCGTACTCTGAGTCTATGTCTGCCTCACACTACTTGGTGGGATCTACCTGACTTGCACAACATTCGCACCTTTGCATTCTTAACCTCCGTAGTAGGACTGGTAGACCAATACAAGCCGAGAAACGGGTTCAGCGTTGACATATGGCCTCCTCCTTCCTCCGAAGCGCTGACTACTCTTTGCCGTGCGAACAAGCGCTCCGATCCAACCAAGGCTAGGGAAACGGGATATGCAAGGTGTAGTTTTGTTCACCGACTTTGACGCTTTTACCAGGCGATCCGCGAGTCTCAAGCTCCCAGCGCGCTTGTTCCCAATCCGCGAAGCCGATCGTAGCCCATTTCAAGTGACGCCCAGGACAATGCACAACTGAAGTTTCTCCAAATTGTGGTTTACATCCGCGGAACGTCTTTGTTGGTGTCGATCCTTGCGTGGACAGGGCCCAGCTCGAGTTGCTACATCTCCCTTGAATTGGGGTAGAGGGTTTATTTATTCTAGCAGTAATGAGGACCTTCCAGAAGGTGAGATAAACATGCGGTGCGTACAACCACCTATTCCACGAAGCCCTGCTCACAGCATCAATTTTCGACAGGCATTGCCGACGCAGAGCTCGTCGCTCTTGGACACTTGGCACCACCATCTTTTTCATCCAGCGCCACACTTGCTGATTCCAACTAGGACTCTCTTGGACTCTCTGTCTCTCCATCTGAACGTCGGCTACGAATACGAAGGCTTACTCCAACAGCGATGACGACATATACTGCTATCCCTTGAATCTCTCCTCAGCGACGAAAGCGGCAGACCTGCTAGCCTTGGACTCCTCACTCGATGATCTCCAACCAAGTTTGCATGACTATCTCACCCGCTTCAGGCGCTATATCTGCCGCCGGGACAACTGTAAAGCCTCCATTCGTGTCGCCCAACTCGCCCACGTCGTTACGGGAAGTCCCAGGTTGCCCTTACCCCATTGGGCCGCCCAAATACGCTCTGCTCGCGATCGTGCCACGCCGTTAACGGATCGTTTACTCCGCGATGGCCGCTGCTCTCAGAATATCTAACACTCCAGGAATGTTTCCGAGTACTGGAGACGGACATCCACGCGTAGGGTTGGTTTCTGTTGAGGATTATGGTTTCACAGCCATTGGGCCGACGGCGTAGCCGTCTTTTGTTTTACATTATTTTGATTTTCGTACCGATCACTACCGCTTCTTGGCTTCGTACCACTATCACCTACGTATCTGTCACGAATATACGTTCGTTCGAGCCATATCCATCACGTCCTTTGTGCCCGCCGACGTCTATTTCCAACAGTTTCTGAGGGTTGCCAGAAGATTTTACGAGTCCCCACCCACGGCCATGATCCTCGCTGGGCCATATTTTTCGAGCACTGCAATTCGGCGGCTGGGAATCCTGGGCAGGATCTTTCCCGACTCAAAGCAAGGAGTGTATTTGTGATGGCCACTCGGACTCGAGATTCGAGGATCGCTCTGTCGTTTATTCTCATTTCGCGTTTACGAATTGAAGAGCTTGTATGTTGCCTGTATGTTCGGAGTCCGGACTTGGTTCGGACTTTGCAGTCGAAAACGTTCAATGTCATGAAAGAAAAAACTTTGCAATGGTACATGCATGCATCAATGGGGAATTGAACCCTCAGTGAGTGACCCTCACCACCGCTCCATTAATGCGCGGTCCTCATCTGCTTGTCTACATACACCATTCTCGAGGATTTTGTTTCTGATGTCCCCCTTGTCTTACAAAGTTATGGGTAGAAAGAGCTCCAGTGTTGGTGTCTTGCCTCGGAAAGAGAATGACATGGAGAAAGTACTAACCTTGTCTATGCACTGGCCCGTGAAATAGATCTCGTACCTTGAAAATGGGCAAAGGATACAAGATTATGCCTCGAAATTTTGCTTCCACCCGGTGAACATGCCATATTCAAGAAGCTTCTTCCCGGATAAGACGTCTCTGTCACATGAGGCGTATTTTTTGATGGAGGGCTCAGTGTTGTTTTTCTCAATATATGGACAGAAATGTGTTATTAAAGTTATTAACTACGTTGAGATTGAGTTATACCCAAAGTGCGTCGAAGCCCAAGCCTCAAGGGTTCGCGGCACGCGCAAGTCAATGTTCATGCACGAAACAAAAGGATGAATACACACACACAAGGGCCGCATGCATCAAGGGGGAATTGAACCCCCGGCGGGTCGATAGACTGATAAATTCAACGTTATGGCAACGACCCAGGTTACCACTACCCCATTGATGCACCATTTTTGCCTAACTTTGTATCTTCACAATGTTTCGTGGACGAGCTCTTGGACTCGCCTCGTTGGAGCGCGCTCGTTTTCATTACCGCTTGGGCCCTCCAACGATCTCGTTTTCCTTCCCAGCGGAACCTATCTCGGACGTCGCCTGGACCCCCAAGAGACGTTTTGTTCCATCTATCTGCGTGAACACCTATATGAAATACTTGCTCTGATAGAGGGTATATTTAATCAAGCAACGAGAAATTTCGCGCTATTTAAACTAGCCTCTACTACCTTTATCAAAACTTTATGCTGTAAAAGGTCAGACTTCAAAAAGGAATTCCGACGCGTATTACGCATCAAGGAGGGATACGCATCAATAAGACAGTTGGCAGCAGCCTCCAGGACACCATTGACAAGATTAATCGGAGGATCCGCTGTCTTCCGCTCTCTAGCAGGAAACGGTTTCCAGTAAGGAGAAAACATGCAAGTGTGACCGACCACCGCGCCAAAAAGGTCCGCTGGATTGTAGTTGAGGAGGTACACCAGGGTAAAATAAAGATTGGGTCGAGAGATGACACCCCCCACTGCATACACTATGACTGGGAGTTCCCCGGTTGCGAGCGGGACAGGAAGGACCAGGGAGATCCCACAGTTCATCGCGAACGTGAACAGCTTGGCGCCGACTACTAAACCCACGCCCGTAGCGTTTATCAATGCGATGGCACAGTCGAGCCCAGGCATGGCAAGGTTGGGAATTGAGGCTTGAATTCTGTTCGAGTTTAAGCGGCCCAAGACCTGGTTATTAAACGCCTCCAGATAGTGTGGGCCAGTCGAGTTGATGCTGTCACGGGTGTCGGATGATAAGATGGGTGAGTCCTCCACGAAGATCTTGACCATATTGAGGTTGGCGCCGACAACTTCAACTATGGCGGCGTCTGCCGCGTCGGGAAAGGGAGGCTGATAGGGCATTGGAGAGAGTAAGATAACACTGAGGTACTGTGGGGTGTGGCAGCCAACTCACCGAACACCTTCAGTTAAATACTGCGCGACACAATAGATGGCTTGTCGGGCTTTGACATTGGCCATATTCCTGGGCATTGCGGGCATCGAGAGCCTTTGCTATTGACTTGAGAGACCAAGACACGGACACCATTCAAGAAATTGCGTAGCTCGTGAATTGCCTAGTTCATTAGGAATTTCATATTCGAATATGCTATATTTTTGACCCACAAATGGATTTTTTGAGCACTTATGCCTGGCCTGAAGAGGTGAATTTTTGTACAAAAATGGGTATCCGAGCGGGGGGCCGAGGCACCTAGACTGGATTGACCTCCGCGTTACAGCGAACCCCGTTGAGAAAAGCGTACAGGGCACGAGTTTTGGAGCGCTGAAGAATCTAGGCAACCGTTGGCATTGCTTAGTCTGGATCCGAGGCGCATAGAAACTCGCAGGAAACGCGCGAAGAGATGTTCAAGATACTATGTTACTGACGCCGGAAGAAATGTTAGAAAAATAACAAGAAAACATTACAAATACAACTTTACTTTTATCCCAAGATAGTTAAATTTCGTTTCCGAGAAACGGCCAGACATACGCATAGAGTTATTTGAGCTAGACTTGCCAGATCCCAGATGAAAGCATGGTTGGATGGAGATTCCAAGATCGATTTTATTATTTGCACATGTTTACATCCCATCCCAGCCTCGATCACGTGTCCAGACACATTCCGTTTTGCTCGACATATATCTCGTGTCGGAACTTATGTTTCGTGTAATTTTAAGGTGCATATTATCCTGACTTAACGTATAGAGATATTCTGATAAATTTAGCAATTTTATAGTGATATTTGACACTCGTATCATGGAAATGGATTTTTGTCGCGCTCAAAATCAAGTTCGTTATCTCCATTTACCATCCAATTTCCGAATTCTGAACAAAGGACAGGCTCATCGCGACCAGTCTTTATACCTTATCGAGGTGTAGTATATTGAAATAACGGCTTATGAGCAGCCTTTTTGAGACTGATCCGCATGCTTCTTTTATGGTCTTTGTTCAAAGATGAATGTCGCCGCGACCCCAGCGACCCCAGCTACTCTTTCGAGAGTAACTAAACATAGCCTGTCTTACTGGCAAAGTCAAATTGTGCTCTCAAATCGGCTCTGCCTTTAGCACGGACGCCAGTCACTTGCTGAAGGACCGATGTCTTGCTAGGCTGTATGGTGAATGTTCCTCTTTGGTGTGTCACGCCGGCGACATTGTCGCGTTGCGCACTCATTGTGCGGATGCCGTTCCACTCACTAGATCTCTACGTCTCCGTTAGCATATGAAAGGTCTTAAATATCCATAGCGCGCTATCTTATCTTGATCGCAGTGCGGTTAACAGAGGACACGTCAAACAGTCAGACTTATACCATTGGGTTTCAATCGCCCCACGGTGTACGTTTAAATCGACACCCAGCGAAGTCATGTCCTAATTTCCGTGAAAATATCCATTCACGGAACCCAGGTCTTGCAAATTTGGGTCTCGATTCCATCGATCAGCTGTTTGCCAATGAAGTTTCATTCAAAAGCCCTTCCCCAGGAACTCGACGTCCATATGAATGATGAAAAGGCATCGTGAACTTCTTCAGCTGAGAATGAACATGGTATAACGGTGCCGATACTACTCAAGGAGTATCATCGAACGTGCTGTCAAGGTCTACGTGCTTCTGGAACATCGCAGTACTTTTCTACAGTTCTACCTTGGGATCGCATTCCATGCTCTATCATTCCGAATGGCGGAGACGTATGTGACATACGACCAAAAAACCACATTGTGGAACTGGAGGACTGATAAGAATACTAATCAGCGTCGACGCAGGGGTTTTACAGTCAAAGAGATTGAGAGGGGACTATCAACATTTCGCAACCAGGAAACATTTCTTGAAAGGACATTCCGGGTGTATTCACGCAGATATCCGTGGACGACCCGGATAGATAGACCAGCAGTTGGCAAGCCAGATCATCATCGACTGCGTTGAATTGCGACAATACTCGGTCTCCTTCTCCTCCAGATCATCCTCGTCCTCGTCCTCGTCCTTGTCTTCGTCGTCATCATCACTCTCAAAACTACTATCACTCCGATACCGTACCCGCCTCCTGTGTCTTCCCGCCTTCCTCTTCTCAGGCGGCAGTTGACCCGACACTTCGAGTACGACTCTGAGAAATTGAGCTGTGCTCAACTAATGGTAGAAACAAATAACCATTCGCAGATCCTGAAGCTGGGCGCGATCGTAGTGCTGCGCGACCTTTTAACGGCTTTCGTTGGATGGTGCAGGCTTTTCAGTCATTTGGGAGCATCTGCAGATACCATCCGTAGGTCTCGAAGAGAGGACAAGTTTCTCCGTGGATCTAGAAGGCCTCCTGTTAGATTGCATGTTAACTCGGTGTCTGAACCCGGCTAGGGAAGCGCACGTACCCCTTGATATATCACCCACCGAAATTTATCGTAAGAGTCAGAAATCTGGCGATCCATAAACATGCCGTTGGCGGGCATGTACACTTCGGGTACGCCAAGTTCGCAAAGCTCAACGCTGCTGGTCGTGGGTATCGGGAAGCTAGGATGCAGCAAGGCTGTTGATTGGGTAATTCGTGTCTCCGGTCCCGCGTATGGATAACAGGAATCCAGGCCATCAACGATACTATGTAAGAGCGAAAGCAATACATAGAACGCTTCGCCATGTCTGCTGTCGATGATGTGGTGGGCCTTCGGCGCGAGGCATGTCGTAAAAGGGCAACGAACTTCCTTTGGGTAAGATATCTGGATATAAGCAGTCCGCTATGAAAAGAAGTCAGTTGCAGTGTTGGCTTAAATGTTAAAAGTATGTGTGTATTCACGTTTTTTACGCGCTATTGACATCGAAATCAGCGTCGTTACACTAAACATCTGCACGACTGACGATTTCCTCATCGTCTGTGTCTGCTATCAATGTCATTGAGACAGGAACCGTATTCTTGGTCGGTGCCAGTGCTGTCCTGAAAGGAGGTTAGAGGCCATCTCAAGCAGGCAATAGTGCACCTACCCTTTAACCTTGATCCACAGCACCTGCCCAGCAAGCCCAGTTAGCGGCCTCGAGAATTCTTCTTTGGACAACAGATGCCCAGGTTCTTGGTCACTATTCAAGTTGTAGCTATGAAACGGATACCAAGAAAAGACCATCTTTTTCGGATTTTGGGACACGCAGAATTTCTGAAGGGATATAGAAACCTCCCAATGCTCCCTTGGCGATATTCAGAAGAGCTCTGATTGGTAAATAGGCCTGGGTGTCGATGTGAAGTGGTGTCGACTGACGGACCCCAATAGGACAGGGAAATGAGGTAGGAGGGATACTGCGAAAATGGAGCGCTTGTGAAGGTCCGTTCCCTCCCACCAGCAGGCGATTTGAAGGTGGTGCGAATCGGGAATTATTTGTCTAGAATAAGACATCGACGACTGGGAGGAAAGCGATGGAGGAAGGCCCCATCTATGATCTAAATAATGGGGAAAAGAGCCTGAAAGTGGTTCACATCATCCAACATGGGCTATGAACGTTGAATCGCGCAACGGCCTCTACTGGGCCACCAAACACAGCTTCCTAACGAGATACAAAATTTTTGACATTGACAGTAAATCCTTGTGACGAGATAAGTTGACGAGCATTTCGCGAAGGCGAAATGAAGCGCACCTAGTACCCTTTCTATGACCATGGTCTCTCCCAGACAGCGATAGCACCTTCCCAGACAATGGCCACGGTGAGTTCGGAAACCCGGCTGTTAATTTATGCAACATGTCCGTCGTGGAAATTTTCGGCGCTGTCAGAGTTCAGACGATGGTCTCCGAAGACGAGAGGGTCGAGGTAGACGACTGGTCAAGATGAGCTGTGGGTCACTTTCCACGTCGATGGACGACTTATATCAGTTCGTTCGTGACCTACTGAAAGTTTGTGGAGTTGAAATATCACGGCTAACCATCATTTTGTAGCTGTCGCTTCGTTATGTA